TCATATGTGGGCTCTGAACCAGGGCCCTCTGGCATCTCAAGCCAGTTCTTAACCAACGCGCCACTCGGCCGGCCCTGGACCACACATTTTTTCTTTATCTTTTTAATAGAAAGTATATCGTTTATATCAAGTATTCTAAAACAGCGATTCTTCTTTGTTATTAGAGCTTGTCTTATTTCAAGTATTGGAAAATATTTCCTGTATGTACTTAAATGCTTTTTCCCGTCTTCTTTTCTCTCTCATGCTCCTCCCCCATGTTAAAAAAATAAAGGGGATAATATTAACCTAAATTGTTATGCCTGTAGACCTTAATTACTGATTATTTTTCCACCCATCATAATCGTCATGCCATAACATTGACCTTTCTGGCTAACAGAGATTTCAGATTCATAAACAGTACTTACCATGCTTCTAAAAAGGAGAGGCAGAGGGATAGATAAATGCACCATCAGAAGCCAGGTCTATCCTGGAGAACAGGATTTTACACTGTCAGAGTGGCACACACTGACCGTGTTAAACAAAAAACTTCATCAGATAATTATTTCTTGTCAGTGTTGAATATAATACAAACCTACTGTTTTCTACAGGGCAAGTCATAGGTCAGGTAATAGTTTGTATTGGACTGTTTTTTGTATCTGGAAACAATGGTTTCACTGTCCTCACAAACAGGCAGGAAAAGGAGCTATAAACCAAATGACAGTTATTTTCAAAATTGAATAGATGATAGGTTGAAAATGTTTCCCGAATGTAGAGGAATAAAATTTCTTCACAGGGAATTACTCTGCTAACTGTATAATGTGTGTAAATATTTGATAAGACCACCACCTCTGGTAGCTTAAATGATTAGCTATCTAAATCATTTTTTTAAATAAATTTTCTTAAGAGGGTCCTCTCTTCTCGTTTTAGCTCTAGGTATACATATTTCCCTTTACTTTCTAGTGTGTACATAGAAGTGGTTTTCCCAAACTGGGAGAAGATCAAATATTCAAATCTTTTTGGTTAACAGGAATAATTGAGGATTTCAAATATGAGATGAGTTTAAAATATGGAAATGAAAGCCCTTGTTCAAATTCAGCTTTTAAATTCCTGGGTTTTTTTAAAACTTTATCTCAATATGAGTAATATAATTATTTATTTTAGAGATCAAATAATATTGAATAATGTGAAAATACCATTTGCATCACTATTTTAAAAACCTAGGGGAGTAGTTGTTCAAATGGTCCTTGCTGTGTTACAGACTGCTCTCCACTTAGGGAAGAGAAGCACCCTGTTTTGCCTGAGCTTCTTGTCATCTAAGGGCCATGTCCAGGAGGACCAGGAAAATTGTCAAGGAATTATTTACCACTGCTGCTGAACTGAATTCTAAAAACTTTATATTATTCCATAAGACCCTTGATTTTAAAAAGAATGAAGAGGGCCCATGGCTTTTATAACACGTTCGCTTCTATAATACTTTTACTTGCAGAGAATGGAGTCAGCGCATATGCAAATATTCATGTTGATTTATTTTTTAATTCATTTTTCCTGCACTTTTAACTCCCAACAAAGATAGAAAAAATATATGTAATGAAAATTTTTAAACAATCATGAACTTTTTATTAACTATTAAAACAGAAGTCTGATTATTATAAGTAAAAATATATTCCTCAGTTAGATTTAGCTGTATACTTTTAGAAACATAAAGACTCAAAACAAGTGAAGTCTTTTAGTTAAATACACCAATTAAAACTCCATATACCACATGCGAAGAAAGTACTATTCACTGAAAACAAAAGCTTTTCACTAGAATGACAGTCATTGAAGGTGAGTTTTGGCAGCCTGTAGCATTAAGGCTTGTGTTTTTCCTAGAGTAGCTCAGTTTTCTGAATATAAATTTAGATGTTTATATACCTTTAAATTAAAATTCTAAAATATGAAAAAATTAAAACTGTGTTTTATTGTTTTCAAACGTAAATCACTGTTGCATATTTATTTTTAAGCCTGTTGGTTGGAAGGAAGTAGAGAACTCTGGTAGACTTGCAGTTGCATCACAGAAGTTATCAGAAAGGAGGCTTTCTGTGGTCTTTTTTGATGCCTTAAAATGAGATTGGCAGTGAATTGGAGGGATGTGGGAAGCAGGAAATGTTCGCTTGCAACAGCTGTCCTCAGTGCTTTGTGTGAAAATGAGTCTATCAGGGAAACATACAAACAACAGAAGTCAGTTAAAATATAAACTCTTACCATCTACTTGTTAATGTTTGGAGCTGCACATTTTCCTGAGAAAGGATCTTAAGAATCAGGTAAATGCAAAATGGGAATCCTGGGGGATTTAAATGAATCTAATCATTTAAACTGTAATGAGGATTTTACAAAAAAATAAAAAATGGGCTTTTCAGCAGTCAGAATGTTGGCCTTATGAATCAAAGGTGTAAGGACAACCGCTTCTTGCCCAGGCTGATGCAAACATAAAAGTGTCATTCCAGGCTCCCTGCTCAGATCAGCCAGAATGACAGTTGTGCTACTAAAATCTGTTTGCATTAGTGGCAACTGATATAAGAAGAAACAATTCAAACTGGTTTCAAACTCAGTATAGAGTTGCCTCTAGAATGTTTTGTACCAAATATTGTCTGCTGTATTTTTTCTTCCCACTTGTGTATTAAATTATTTTGACTTCAAGAAAGTGTATCAGTTAAATGTTCTGTGAGTCAGCTGTTCCAATCTACTGAAATCGCAAGGAAAAAAATATATATATATACATATACATATACATATACATATACATATACATATACATATATATATACATAATGTGAATAAAATATTATTGTCATTGATCTTTTTCATATTACTCCAGTTATCAGCTTAAAAAGTATCTTATAAGTACTTTCTTGTTACAAAAACAAATTTGGAACTTTTGTTTATTCTTATCTTTTAACTAATATTTCTGAGCTCCAAGGAAGGCTCTGTGCAGATGGGATTTCTGAGGGCTCTCCTTTTTTGTTAGTTACACACCTATGGGTCAAGAATCAAACAAAACAGACTTTGGTTAAAGCAGGAGGGACTGTGTTAAACATAAGAAAGAGCTGATTCACAGAGCTACATTGGAATACGTTGGGAATAGTGTAAGAGTTATTGTCCCCAGTGTTTTTAAATAAAAGATCAGATAGTTACCTACTCTGGATAGTTTTAATTTCAGAATATAGAGATCAAGATTATCTTTATTCCTCTGATACTCTCTTCCTCCTCTGGTGTGTAATGTGGCATTCGACTTTCCTGTCTTGGTTTAAGGTCCCTAGACTAGTTGTCAAAGACTTTTATTTCCTTGTAGAAACTGTCTATAATATGGTACGTCTTTTGTCTGAGTTTTCAGTAGACCCAGGTAACTGAGACAATTGCGGTAATTGAAGGATGAGGGGAATATATGTCTCTTGTACTTGTTCTCTCTTACTTTATTTTTTCTTTCTCCTCTCTTCTGTTTTCTCCATCATTTCTCTTTTTCAGCTCATAGAACACTCTGACTTTCTTTGTGCCACTTATCATAATCCACCTTATGTTATTGTTGTTTGTGTTTTATCCTGATTGGGGATGTGGACAGTACTTCATTGGAGCTCAGAAGCCAAGAAAGAGTGACCTCAGTTTGCTTCCTCTCACCCATTCAAAACAGTCACCAGAGGTAAACTGGCAGCTAAGCCAGGGAGGGCACCAAGAACAGTGCCTGGCACATGGTAGGCTCTCAGTAAATAATTGTCATTAAATAACTGCACTAACCCCCAGCACACTATCTTACATAGTTAGCAACAAATTGAATTAACGGTTTAATAAATAATTTATAAGCGCTAAATAACCATTTTCTGACAGAAGTTTGGGTTTTTGTTTCTGTTTTTTATGTTTAAAAAAAAATCTGTCTGCCTTCAGCACTTCCTGATCCTTGATTTCTTCACTTTTTGGTTCATTGTGAATGGACCCAACAGCTTTCAATATGTGACAGTGCCAGTACCCATTTTTCCCCCTATCTTCTGCCATTTTTCTCTCTTTTGTGACTAATTAAGGGCTAAAGGATTTATAGACTCAGTGGGAGGCCATTAGTACTTAATTATCTTGAAAGAGCAACAGAATGTTTTTTGGAATTCATGAACAGTGGCAGTTCCCTAAATGCTATTTGTCAATTCTCTGTCCATTGTCCCAGGTGCTGCCCACCTTTCCAACAGACACACACACAACACACATTGTTTTCAGAATGTTTTCATATTTTATTCTTTACCATGAAGGGAAAATATTGAAAATAGAGCTTCATGTTTTTCTTACCACTTGATATAATTTGAAACAGGTTTCTCCACTGATGATGTTTATATCTTGTTTTACAAATGGGATTTGTGACCCAAAAGAAGCAAAAACTAATCATCTTTGTTGTCAGGTGCTAATACTTGCCAACTTGTTGCTAGTACTCTCCATGAGCTCAGGCAGTTGATAGTGATGAAGGAGCTGAAGACAACTCTTGACATGTTTCCCTGCCTGGCACATGTTCTAGACACTGATGAGGATTTTGAGTCCAGCAGACTCTTGGTAAATGTATCTGTTGGCGTAAGCTCTGATTCTAAAGTTTGGGAGATACAGACTGACTGATAGTTTTCGAAAACTTATGTATCTGACTAAACTCTTCTGTCTTGTCAGCCACAAGTTCTGCCCACTTGGAGGACCTCGCTTACCTGGATGAGCAGCGACATACACCTTTGAGAACTTCTCTTCGAATGCCAAGACAGAGCATGGGTGGTGCTCGCACACAACAGGATTTAAGAGGTTAGAAGCACAGGAGGGCTTTGCTTGGGGATGCCCAGCAGAAAATGGAAATGGGCAAGAGGCCAAAAGTCCTTTGTTTCCCATTGCCACACTTGTGTAAACCCCCCTTAAGAGCATGTAACCATGAAAGAAAGATAAATACAAATAGATTGACCAATGGCATTGTAATGACCAACATTTGGAAGCAATGATTCCTTGGCATTCTGAAAGAAAACAAGGGTAAAGGCCTGGCGGTGATGGGGGAAATAACCTTTTTAAGATCCTGGGTTTCAGAAGTGAGTATTGAACAACTTCAGCCCTAGCCATACTGCAGGTGAACTTGGTGCTGATAGTCACGTGTTTTGCTAGAGTTTATTTCATTTTCATTCCAGTGGGCATTTCTAGTGACATACAGTACTATAATTTTCTTGGTCTGTCCTGGCAACATGTAAACAACTTACCCTTTTCCCACTCAGGCACCTGTTTCTTTATACTCCTTGTGCATGCTACATGCTTCTACAGTCAGGATCCTGACCTTTTCAAAGATGTCATTTTGCTATAACCATGGCTTAGTTAGAGGTCATTATAGGTGTCTCTGCGTGTGCCTTTTGTTTGCTCAAAATGAACCAAACTATCTCTGATAGCCTTAACAGATGGTCTGCTTTCTCCAATATCTATTGGGTTGTCGGAAAAGTCATGACGTATTTTTTCTATGTTTTTTGTTGCAAAAATACGTCATGACTTTTCCGACAACCCAATAGTAATCCATAGCTCTACTGCATCAAGTATATTTTTTATTTTAAATTACAGATTATTTGCATCTTTCCTTTGTTCTCTTCATCACTTTTTGTCCTGTGCCCCATTCTAACCTGTATAGTGCTACATGCATAACTCACACAGGAAGAGATTCACACATGCCTGCTGTCCGTTCTGGAAGTCATTTTGCTGCCAGTTTCAGCATAATGGCTAGGCAATTAGAAGCATAAAGTAATTGTATTGCTAAAATTACCATACCTCCCATCAACAACAGTGAGCTGATGGCATTAGTCATAGATTTAGTTCTTGATCCTGTCCATCCTGCTTGCCATTTCTTCAGTAAGCGGCATACTAGTTGCTTAGTATATGCAATTGTGTGTTTCCAGTCCAGAGAGTGGAATTATGTCAAGTACTGCTTTAGTGCTGGTAGATTGATTATACCCAAAGCTGGAATACATTTAGTCAAAAGATCAAATAAATGATTTGTTCCAAGACCAGATGCATAGCCATAATAAAGAAGATTGGACACAATTCTTGATCTATATAGACTTTCAGATTTGGTTGAAAATCTGCCACATTGGCATCACCTTACATCTCATTACTGAAAAACATACTGACATTGTTGATTTTATTTTCTGCTTTGCTAGTCAATGAATAATGGATTTCATACTTCATAGAAAACAAAATTAATTGACAGATTTCAGCTGTGTATTTTGAGAACTCTTCATGTTGGGTTTTATTGACACTTGATGGCACATGCCTGCTTCTAGTATCTGGAGATTTGGTAAGATCTTTGACAAGTGCATTCTAGTGAGCTTGATGTTTACACACAGATATCAGTTGCACCTTGACTACAACAAAAATCTTTTCCATTGTATTGAGCTTTAGCTTAAACATTTAGTAAAACCAAAGTGCATCCAAAGATTTTTTTCAAAGCGTACCTAAGTCTTTAAGAAGCTCTCTCCCTAAATAATGCATCCCTAACAAAACTAATTTTATATCCCTTGCAACAGTTTCTCAACTTATTGTTTAATAATTAAAGATGGAGTTTGTCCATTGGTAAAAGTACTATGACATTAGAGTTTCAGTTCTTTAAAGTTGTCTTTCCTTTCAAAAGGATTTCTTCCAGCAGTCTAAATGGTTAGTACCTGCCATCCAGATGAGTGCATTAATGCATAAGAGACTGGATGTTTACTAAGCAGTATTTTGCCTTCTAAAATCAGTATACTTTAATTTAGAACTTTGAGGCCCTGGATAATCTTTCCTCAAAAAAAAAAATGTTACCTTGATTACTGTTTACAGGTGCACTCTCTGGCTTATGATATAACTTAAAACACGTTCACAAAGTAAAGCAAACTTGGACAGACTTTACTTATGTTTTCATAGACCAGCTTGACAAGCTTTTATAATTTGTGATCATTATATCCAAAACATTGGCCTTTATCATAGAAACAGAATCATATTGTTTTCCTAGGATGGATTTTTAAAAACATGCCACACCATCCTTTTTATTTGAAGGTACATACAAATTGCAGTCATATTTCAGTTGTATATCTTTTTCTTCTGGTCATGGTTGGAATAAAACAACTTTACCCAAGAACAAAGTAATAAAGTAATTGAAAACCTTTTTTAGTCTAAATTAAGATATATCTTTCTACATTAGAGGTAGATCTTTCTATATTTTAAAATATTACTCAAGTCATATGAAATACTTTTTAAAATCACAATTCTAGTTTTAAATGACCCTGGGTCTTCAGAGAAGGTAGTTAATGGATATTTACACTGTAGTGTATCCAGTAGGTACTAAATTTACTGACTGATTCCAAGTATACAGATTATCTGAAGTAATATCCCTTGAATATATGTCTAAAGAGATGGCAAGCATTTATTGGGTGCTTCACACAGGCAGTTCCTACATTATTCTGTTTAGAGCAGTGGTTCTCAAACTTTTTGGTCCCATGGCCCCTTTTTCGTCCCAGGACCCTAAAACACTTGTGTTTTCTATGAGTTATATCTATTGATATTTACCATATTAGAAATTAACACTGAGAAATTTTTAAAATATCTGTCCACTTTTCAAAAACAATAGTAGACCCATTATGTATTAACATCATGTAAACTCTAGAAAATTCCACTGTACACTGTGAGAGAATAGCATGGAAAAGAGAAATAACCTACTAGTATTATGAAAATGGTTTTGACTTTGTGAACCTCCTGAAAGTGTCTTGAGAACCCTCAGGGGGCCCCAGATCACACTTAAAAAGCACTGGTTCAGAGGATACCATTGTAATTGAAGATAAGTTTTATGCCTTTAGGGACCATACAATCTGTTTACAGAATGCAAAAAAAAATGTAGTTTGAGAATTGGTTAGAAGTTGCTCATGAACATGGTTTAATAATACAAGTATAGTTGATTTAACAATTACCTTAAGTGTCATTGCATTTATTTGATCATAATGGTAGTAGTCTTTTGCTTGCTGAAATAGAAGTTGCCAGGGTAACAAGAATTTGGATTTTCAAGTGGGGTATTAACATTTGCTTCACTGGTAAAAGGTCTTGTTGTTGTTTTTTTAACTTCTTAGGACAGCTGTTTTGAACAGCTGTTTTGTCAAAATTGATGTTTCCAGAGATCCAGTCCAACACTGGGGAGAAGGTCACATAAGTGCACTGGACAGGATCCTGTTGCAGCAAGTTACTAGGTGCCTACCTGTCCATCATCAAGAGCTTGAGCTTTAAGGATAAAGTAGTTACAGAAGGTTATGTGCTAGTGCAGGGTATATAGTTGGCTAACCTTCCATGAGTGCCTTTTCTAGTCCAAAGCCTAATGTCCTTGACTGATACTAACCTGAAACCTTATTAAAATTAACTCCCATTTTAAAAATTATTTTGGGGCCCATTAAAAAAAATTTAATCATCAGCCTGTTAATATGGAGTTAAGCTAGAAATTATCCAACTGAAACCTCTCAATCTTTCTGATATCTTAATGGGGATCTCTTAGTCCACAGAGAAAGAAACTAATTTTGCTGCCTAGTAAAAGGCAGGAAGAGGTTGTTGGTTTTTATGGATAAATGTAATAAGCCTTATGATGGAATATATAAAGAGAAGCATGGAGAGTTAAAATACACAAAGCAAATGATAGCATAATGACTATGAATAGTAGCTACTTGGGGTAAATTAACAACAAATTACTAATGATAAGACTCTGACCTGCCTAATATTAAATCATAATCAGATTGTTCTGCTTAAAGAGATTACACTTTCCTAATTAAAGCTTATTTCTCAAATATGCTGGTTTCCTTAGGACTTTTACTAAATCCCATTACATAAATGGCCATTCACAGGCATTGGGTTTAATTAATAGCTGCTTTTTTAGATACTGGGTTGGAGGGTGTATGTGCAAATGATAGCCTGACTCATTGGTAGAATTTATGTGAAATTGACCCTGCCACAGTTAACTTGGCTTTGTCAAAGCAAAGAATCCAATTTTTATCAAATAAAATCAGTGTTTCATACCATTTGTGAGTCCCTTGCTTTCCAAAACAATGACTCTTTTATGAAGATGACTAAGATGCATGTCATGAAGCTAATACTCTTGCATTAGCCCACTGAATCACACACCCCTGAGGTTGCTTAGTCATCTTAATCATTGCTGGGCTGGCTCTCACATTTACAAAGGAATATTTCCATCAGTCTTTCTATCTCATTGTTCATTGTTTTATTTTTATGAGATTAAATTTCTTTCTGTTTAGTTAAATTCTAAATCCAGAGATAAGGTTGCATGCACATAGCTGCCTATATATAAATATTAGATGGATAGATTGTAAACTTTACTAGTATGTGGCTGATCCCCTCACCCCCAGCCAGCTCTTTTGCAAAGCACTCTAAAATTTGAAAATGCAGTACTCGCATTGGAGGTCTTTGAATGTCTGCTAGAAACTAGTTTTTGCTTTTCGGAGTAGTCTGGCTGTGATTTTTTTTTTTTTTAAGATTTTATTGGGGAATTGGAGGGAACAGCGTTGGGCAATCGGGGAAGGGGAACAGGCAAGCTGCTGTCCTTTTGTTCTTCAGTCTAGTTGTGGAGGACGTTGCTTCACTGGCCCATTTTGGTATTGTGATCATTGTGCTCTTCCTGGCTGCCGGCTGCTCACGGTAACTTACGGCAGCCCACTGCAGCCCTACTGCAGCCTATGCTGTTGCCGGCACTCACGGCAGCCCAGCTCCAAGTCAAGCTGTTGTTCACCATCTTAGCTGTAGAGGGCACAGCC